ATTTTAGTGGGGAGTGCCTCTTTCAGAAATGCTAATTTAGGTAATTTTTTAAAATAATAGAGACCAGGCTTCCAGATTTTATGACATCATCACCATATAGAGGAATGAGTATTGGATCTGAAAGCAGGGACTGCGTTTCCTAAATCTGCTGTTAGCCCTGGGTAGGACTGTGAGCAAACTAATTTACCGCTCTGAACTGCAGCTTTCTTGTCTATAGGAAGGAGGCAAAGATACATATTCCACCTTCCTGGAGGGACAACGAATGTTAAAAGCGTTCTGAAAGCCCCACTGATCTCATCAGACAATGAGTTCTCAATCGGGGTGATATTAACCCCAAGGGCGAGGGGGGAACATCAGTTCTTAAGGGAGCACACTCTTCTAATGTGTAAAGCACAGATACACATATAGAACATAAATAGGCATACAGTCTATCTGTAGTAAAATTCCATTTGGGAGAGATGATTAGGAAGGAAAAAAACATGTAAAATGGCTCCAAAGAAAGATTATAATGCAAAAAAGATTGAGGACATTTCGCTAGACAGTCTTTCATTTCTACCATCTCCTTAGTTCTGTCCGCCTTTCTTTTTCTTCAGGTGGATTAATTTTATTCATCAGTTGGAACACATGCATTTGAATACTTACACTGAATACTTAGATTGAAATACTCTTACTCTAGAAGGAGGGAGAAAAAAACTGAGAAGAAAGAGAATGATGGGCATTCTTTACCTTTTCCAAAGTACATACAGGACCACTTAAACCAAACACCATTAAGTTCTGAAGGAAGGAATTTACTAACAAGAATGAGGAATTAAATGAATATACTCGCCCAATCTTTTTTCCCCCCTAGAAATTTAATAGCAGCATTAAGTTTTCCTTGATTTGATTCAATTCTATTGGGTATTTCAAGCTTTTTGAACCTAAGAGGTATTTGGAGAATTTAAAAAGAGTTCCAAGGAGAATAATGAAGATGAATTAAGGATTGGAAATAAGATCTATTAAAAAAAGTTAAAAGAACAAGAATTATTTAGGGAGGAAGAACAAGCAATTAGGTGACATGGAGATGGCTTTTAACAGTGGAAACCTTATCCTATAGAGAATAGTCTCAGGTTTTCATCTACACCAAAGACCAAAGGAAGGGGGAAAATGTATTTTTAAGCAAGAAGAATATGAGATTAGATGTTAGCCTAAAATTTCTATCCATGATTAAGTCCCGAATTTTGATTCTCCTTTTTGGGATTTTTTGAAATACAGTGTTGTTCTGTAGGAAGTATCAGGAGGATGGACAGATGGACCCATCATGTTTGATTCTCCTGCCCTGGTGGGAGGCCAGCCAGCCAGTCTGGCCAACATGGCTGACCTCCATGGGATTTGGCTTGATGGAGGGAAAAAGCCATCTTATGTGGAGCTGTGGCTTCAGGATGCCAGAGGATGAATACAAAGACCTAGCCAACAGTAATAGGGCAGAGTCAGAGCAGTATACCTAATTGGGTTGTCCTCACAAGGAGGGCTCAAGGTGAGTGGTGGGGGCCAACACAGAAAGCCAAGAAATGAGTGCCAGGGAAGATGTAGCAACGAAGACTGGGTCAGAATGAGCTGCTGGGAAGATGCTCTGGGCCAGCTAGAGAGATGAGTGCCACCCATAGATAGGCTTTTGGGAGTTCTTGGAAGCCTACAGTGAGAAAAGGATCAAAATCCACATAGAGTGGATCAAAATCCATGTAGACTGGGTCAAAATCAATATAGAAGCCTTAGGAAGATATCCCAAGCTTCCAGGAAGGTATTCATTCTCTCCATGTTTTGGAACTGCTGTCCAAATTTGTGCTTCCCAGTACTAATATGTGTGTCAGAATTCCCTGTAGAGCTTGGTAAACCTTACAGCCACCCTGGCTCCAGCCTTGGAGATTGGGATTTAATGGGAATATCACTTAGGATTCTATTGTGAGCAATAGAAATCAATTCTGGCTAAATTTAGAGGAAAAAAAAAAGATGGGGGATAGAGGGTAGTTGGAAGGATATGAATAAATTACCTTAATAGAAAGAAAGGGCTTTGGGAAGGATATGTGAAGCAGGACATCTCCAGGGATCCAGGAAGCAAGACTGATGCACTTCCAGGCAATAGAGTGTGATGGCTAGAGTCCAAGCCCCAGGATAATATAGTCTGCTTCTCTACTCTGCTTCTCTCTATCTCAATTCATCCTTTGTAAATGGTTGTAATAGATCTTACCTACTAGATAGTCATGAGGATTGAATGGGTTAATATATGTAAAGAAAGTGCTTAGGATAATGCCTTGGGACAATAAAAGTTCTTAATAACTATTAGCAATTATTACTGTTGTTGTATTGTTGCCATGCATGCAAGAATCAACTCCAACAGAGCTGTCTTTCAGACAATCAATTACTTCTATTGAAGCAGAGCTCCGTGCAAGATACCCTATTGGGTATCAGGACAACAGAGAAAGACAGGAGCCTTTCCCTCAAGGAGCTCACTTCTAGAGGTCATAAAGACCAACAATCCCAATTCCACTAAGATTATGGCCCTAACTCAGGCCTTTAGTTCAAAGGGAGGATAAGAAATAATACCTAAGCTGGTTTGAGGCAGCCAGGAAAGATTTTCCCAAGATGGCAGCATTTTACCTCATATTTACTTTTTTTACATTTATTTATTTATCCATTTATTTATTTTTATTGAAGTATAGTTAGCATACTATGTTACATTAGTTTCAGGTGTAAAATACTGTGATTCAACAAGTTTATACATTACGCTATGCTCACCACAAGTGTAGCTACCATCTGTCACCATACAACACTATTATAATACTCTTGACTATATTCCCTGTGCTGTACCTTTTATTGCCATGAGTTATTCATTTCATAACCAGAAGCCTGTATCTCCCACTCTCCTTCACCCATTTTGTCCATCCCCCCCGACCCCACCTCTGGCAACCATCAACTTGTTCTCTGTATTTACGGATCAGTTTCTGCTTTTTGTTTGTTTATTCATTTGTTTTGTTTTTTAGATTCCACACGTAAGTGAAATTGTATAGTATTTGTCTTTCTCTGTCTGACTTATTTCACCTAGCGAAAAACCCTCTGGGTTTGTTCATATTATCTCAAAAGGCAAGATCCCATTCTTTTTTTATGACTGAGTAATATTCCTTTGTGTATATTTTATATATATAATATATATATATATATATATATATATTATATATATAACACAGGAAATAACAAGCATTGGCAAGGATGTGGAGAAAAAGGAACACTTATCCACAATTGGTGGGAATGCAAGCTTGTGCAGCCACTGTGGAAAACAGAATGGAGGTTCTTCAAAAAATTAAAATTAGAATTATCATATGACCCAGGAATTCCACTACTGGGTATTTACCCAAAGAATGCAAAAACACAAATTTGAAAAGATACATGTACCCCTCTGTTTATAGCAGCATTATTTACAATAGCCAAGATGGAAGCAGCCCAAGTGCCCATCAATAGATGAATGGATAAAGATGTGGTGTATATACACAATGGAATATTACTCAGCCATAAAAAAGAATGAAATCTTGCCATTTGCAACGATGTGGATGGATCTAGAGGGTGTAATGCTAAGTGACATAAGTCCATCAGAGAGACAAATACCATATGATTTCACTCATATGTGGAATTTAATAAACAAAACAAACCAAAAAACACTCTTAAATATAGAGAACTGGTGGTTGCCAGAGGGGAGGCGGGTGGGGGATGGGTGAAATAGGTGAAGGGGATCAAAAGTACACTTATTGTGATGAGCACTGAGGAATGTACAGAATTGTTGAATCATTATATGGTACACCTGAAACTAATATAACACTGCATGTTAATTATACTTGAAAAATAAATAAATAAAAAGACAATTTCCCCTTATTTTTGAGATCAGTGAGATTTTGCCAGGTTAAGGCATAGAAGGGTTGGAGAGCAAGTATTAGAATTCCAAGCAGAGGAAATATCCCATCCAAAGAATGATTGGAATGTATGACTAAACAGGATGTGTTTCAGAAACTACAAGGATCTCTGTGGCAGGAACATAAAGAATTGGGGAATAAGGATGTGGAGGGCAAGAGTGTGTGTGCTGGTTGGGACATATTCTGGATACACAAGCAAGACCATGCTAGAAAATCCTGTCTGCCATTCATTTATTCACTCAACAAATATTTATCGAGCACCTGCCATGTGTCAGCTGTGTTCTAGACTCGGGATAATAGCAATAAGCAAACCATAAAAGTTTCTATCCTTGTGTAGTTTTCATTTGAAAGAAAAAGATTGGCAATAAACATGCAAGTAAAATACATAGTATCTCAGATGATGACAAGTGTCATGGGAAAAAATAAGGCAGAAAATAGAGAGGGCGTATGCCAAGGTGAAGAGGTACCACTTATAAGTAGGGTGGTTTGGGATAGACTCACTGAGTTGTGTAGGTTTGACTACTTGGCAATGGGGAGCCAGTAAAGAATTCTGAGCAGAGAACTTGATGAGATTTGCATTTTCTGACTTTAGTATGAAAGACAGATTGGAGAGTGATAAAAGTATAGACAGGAAAACCTGTAAAAAGACTATTACAAGGGTTCAGGTGAATAGATTATAGTGGACATGGAAAGAAAGAGACCATTTCAAGAGTAAGGAATTACATACAATGGGCAGGATTTAGTGGCAGAATACAGGTGGGATTGGGAGAGAGGAAGGAGTCTGGGATGTCAGTTTCTAGCTTGGGCAGTAGGTGGATGGATGATGATCTGGTGGTACCATTCGGAGGGATGAAGAGTAAAGGAGGTTGGCCATCACATGTAATAGAATATCTGCTGGTGAGTCAGCTCACACAGGTCTCCAGAATGGGCACTTTTATGAGTCTAACAATTTGGGGGTCAATCCACCTATTTATTATAGCAGAATCAATGATTTTCCTGAGTGCATCACCTCTGTTGTCCCGTGGACAATTTCCCTTCCTTTTGGTGTAAAAAAAGACTATGGACTTCGGCATCCATCAGGTGTTGGTTTGGATCTCCTCTCCATGCCACTGTGTGATCTTCAAGTAATCCAACCATATGGGCTTTTCTCTCCTCATCTGCAAAAAGGGAATATCAAGTGCTGTGTGACTTGCCTTTTTGGAGAACTGTAGCACACATATTGAAGGTGCCCGTTAAGTGTTGGATCCTGCTCTGCTCCTCCCAAGCCCTGCCCTCCCAGGTTCTAAGTCAGTGTCAGTAGGTCTGAGCTTGGAGAAAACCAGAGCCAGGAACAAAAGGGCTGATGTGCGAGGTGGGGCATTTGAATGTGCGTGTCTGGGTGTAGTTGCCCTGCCATTATTTTTCAAATCCAAACACAGCTGATTTGGGTAATTCACCTTCCTCTTTTATGATGAATATTTTGTATGGTTGCCTATATAATGAAACCTCAGGACACTGCTAAGGTATTGGACAGCCAGCCATTCAGCTCCCTGGGGCAGAGAGGTTCCTCTGGGACTGGGGAAGCCATGTGCGGTGAAGTTTTGTTTCCAACCCAGTGATCAGGGCAGAGTTTCAAAGGAACATGCTGTGAGGCATGAAATCCCATAGCAGTAAGGGATTTAAACATTAGTTCACATGTATGCATAGCATGGATGGTTACTCTCAAGTAATAACTTAAATTTTTTTCTTAATATTTTCTGTATTTCAGGTTGTTTACAGTTTTTTCAAGGGAGGAATGGGGGTTCCCTTCTTTATCTTATTGAGATTTTGGTCCATTCAGTTTGGTACTTACCTGAGCTATTTCGCTGAGTAGTTGGAAGGGTCAGTCTTTTCTTAAAAGCTAATTTTATAAATTATCAGTGTTCTCATAAATATTTCCTCTTATCTTCTTTTTACTCCACTTTACTTTGTGTATTTAAAGTATTTATTGCTTGTTTGTGTTTTGGTCCAAAAAATTTTTTTGAATAATCTTTCTTGGGAATGTTCATGAGTCCAAAGTTCTTTTTTGTCTAAAACAGGGTTTCTCAGGCTCGGCACCATAGATATTTTGGCTGGAATAATTCTTTATTGTAGGAGAGGGTGGGGGCTGTCCTGTGCGTTGCAGGATTTTACCAACATCCCTGGACTCTACCCAGCACATGCTAATAGCACCCTCCCCTCGTGACAATCAAAACTATCTCCAGACATTGCCAAATATCCGCCGGGGAACAAAAACACCACCCACCCTCCCACTTGAGAACCACTGGTCTAAGAAAATTCTTTTACTTCTTATTTGTTCTAATATTATGACTGATTTTTACATCACAATTCCTGGGAAAATCTGAAAAAAAAAAAAAGGAGACAGAAAACAAACTAAATGAATGGGAACTGCTCTGGTCCTGAGCACCCCTAATCTGATACACTGTGTACCTCTAAAAATTAGCAGAATATTTACGCCGGGTTATTAAAGTGCCTGACTTGTATCTACTTACAGAACTTTGGAAAGCCATTGGTAACATTTTAAGGAGGTTTATTACAGAAAGACCAGCCAGTAGATATTTCTATAATACATTGCAGTCAAGGCAGGAAGGAATTTACCCCATCAGTGCCCCATCAGAATTCTAGAAGCCTTAAAGTAATGCCGTAAAGAAAAAGAAGGCCTTCGATTCTAGATGAAAAGAAACAGGAGATTTTGAAGTTTGCTCAATTTTCATTGTATACTATGCACTTTGACTATAAGAATATAAATCTCAGTACTTGCATTTTCTTTCTGTCCTTTTCAATAGAGAACTTTGATTTTTAATTAGAAGGGAATTACCCGTATTTTTTTTTTCTGGATAAAAGTGCCCAACATCACCAATATAAATCCCCCCATCAAAGCCTTTTCTCCTGAACTTGATCTGTATCTCAGAAAATTCAGAAGTCTAACTGCCCGGTGTAGGAGGTTGCTAAATTGGGTTCTAAAATTATTTCTGTTAAGTAAAAACTTAACATATACCAGCTGCTGAGGGATTATAAAAGCTTTGTTTTTTCAATAATTGGAAACCTTGTTTACAGAGGACTCACAATATCCTTTAAATGTCTTTGTGTTGAATATAAAAGAACTTGTGTTTATCTAGGCAATGATAATCTGACTATAAAGCAAACTCATTTAAGGATTATGCTTCCTGTCTCTCACTATGCAGCTGTCACCCTCCTGTTCTCTCAAGCTTTGCAAAATGCTGAGAATTATTCCTTAAAATTAGAAGAATAAATTGGAAAATAAACCAGGTAGCTGGGAATACATAAAATTTTAAATTACAGGGAAACAGTTGAGAGACCCGAAGTATCACTACATGAAGGCAAAATCATGACAAATTCTCGTTTGTTAACTCATGGACAGAACTCAGTTCATTCCAAAGAGATTTTAGAGTGTTCAATCCTGGCAAAGAAAAGTTAAGGACAATTCAGATGATCTAATATGTGACCAAAGGGGGGAATTGTGTGCCTGCCAACAAAGGCATCCGCATTGGTTGGTATTTACTCCGAAGAAGCTGGGAATCACGGTCGTTCAAGGTGTCTGTGCTGGGTCTGAAGCCCTTTCCCAGTTCCATGACCTCAGGCTAGTTATTTAGCGGCTGTCTACAAAATCATGGCACTCACTTACCTCATAGGGTTGTTTGGGGACTTCAATGAGACAGACACACATGTGAAAGCCTAAGGACTGTTGCTGGCACAGGGTGGGCACTGCGTAAATGCTAACCTATTACCATGGTGTTCCCAGCCCTACAGTTCTTTACGTGTGTTATCTCATCTGAGCTTTATTAAAATAGTACATTTTTATAACCCCAGTTTTATTGGAAATTGAGGAAAATGAGATGCAAAGCAGTTTAATAACCTACTCAGGGTCACACAGCAATTGAATTGACACCAGGGCTCTGCCTTCATAATCTTTGCCTCATTCCGCAAACATATAATGAGCACAGGCATCCTTTGCTCTCCAAACACTCTCTATCAGAATATCTGCTATAGCAACTCAGCAGAAAGTTTTAGCCAAAATCATTCTCCCGGCTAAAAACCTGCTATAACAAGTTCTCACCTGCTATGATACGTTCTCATGTGCATAGGCAGCTTCTCAAACTTTCATGTGCCCATGACTTCCCTACGAAACGCAGATGCTGCATTCCTAACAAGCTCCAAGGTGAGGCCAGTGCTGCCGGTCTCAGGATCACGCTTTGAGGAGCAGGGAGCTAGGAGACGGAAGGGGGCTTCTCGAGTTTCTCTGTTCTCCTGATCGACCTGGTTTTGTGTTTAAGCACATTGCACATGATATCCATAATTCTCTCTACTTTTTCCCTGAGGGATTAGCCCTTTGGTATTTGTTTAGGCCAGATACCAGGGAGCACTACCAATGCAGGTCTAACCCAGACAGTATTTTTTTTATAGTACCTGCTCAGTATAGGATAATGAGGTTCCTATTCTCTTCAGCAGTGGACTACATACCAATATACCTGTTAATTACTCTGTTAAGTGTTAAACAACTATGTAATTGGGCTTTGAATATTTTATAGTAGGCAGAAATCCTTATCAGATTGTTATGTAGTTACTTAAAGGCATTTTAGTAATATTTGGGAAATCGATATTTTTGAATAAATTACTTTTTTCTATTTAAAATAATGGGATATAGGCTCTTGTTGTTTGACACTTTGCTGCCTGACACATTTTTAAGAGTGGATTAGATTCAGAGAACTACACTCATTCTGTGCCAGACCAGAGGCAAAATCCTGGGAATATAATGATGATGAAGACCAAAATTGCTGCTTCGAAAAACTCATAAAGTAGTTAGAGAAGAAACGAGCAAGTATATATTTTAAAATATAAAAAGAGCTGTGAGAGCACAGAAAAGAATGGGCCTAATATAATACGGTATGTTAATTATACTTGAATTAAAAATTTAAAAATAAATAATTAAAAAAAAGAATGGCCTAACTTTTCTTCCTGTGCAGGGAGGCCCTTTCTGGATACCAGTAATAGCTAATTATCATTGAATTGCTCTGTGTCCCAACCACTGCTACAAGCACGTTGCACGTATTTACTCATTTAATTATTACAACAGCTCAATGAGGCAGGTGTACTTTTATTATCATGTCCATTTTAAAGATGAGGAAACAGAGGAACGGAGAGATTAGTAACTTGCTTGTGGATACACAGATTTGGCATCAAAGCCAGACAGTGTGAATCTAGAGCCTGCCCTTTCAACCATCACGTGATCTGCCCCTATTTTATTAAAAGAAAGTTCAGAATCTTTAAATAAGAACATGAAAAACAGGGGACATATTGGAGAGAGCAAATTATGGAACTGCAAGTAACTCTGTTTGATTGGAGCATCGGATGAATGTGGGGTGATGAGACCCTCCGGCAAGAAGCCATAACATTTGCATTGGCTGTAGATCAGTAGGAACACGGTGTGTGGAGGGTATGAACAGGATTAGCCGGGACTAAAACCATTTTCAGTAGTCACAGTACTGGCAATAATTATATTTGAGGTGTGACTGTAAAGTCATAAAATAGATTTTACTTTAACACGTATATTATGTGAGTGTGGTCCCTTTCCAGTCCATCACCTTGGGAAGCCATGTTTTATTTCTGCTGAGGTCCCATTGCTCAGAGAATGTTGGGAATGTCTCTTCTAAAATACCTTCAGGGGGCACCTGGGTGGCTCAGTAGTTAAGCGTCTGCCTTCGGCTCAGGTCATGATCCCGGGATCCTGGGATCGAGCCCCACATCGGGCTCCCTGCTCAGCGGGAAGCCTGCTTCTCCCTCTCCCACTCCCCCTGCTTGTGTTCCCTCTCTCTCTGTGGCTCTCTCTGTCAAATAAAGAAATAAAATCTAAAAAAAAAAAAAAAACACCTTCAGAACAGGATACAGTACAGATTTTATTTTCTTAGGATCATGCCTCTCATTTTTGTCTCAAATGTATTTCCTGGTTGGATCACTTCCCTTTTTACCGAATTTGGCTCTGAATAACTTCTGCCTGTTTGCTGAAATAACAGCCACTCTCAACTCAAAAAACAGATATGTTGTTTCCGTATACTGGTGATTCTGACTTTAGTGTATGCTTAAGCATTATCTAGAGCTTAATCAAATAGCAGCACCCCCCTCAGTAATTCTGGTTCAGTTGGTCTAAAGGAGGGAGTAATAGTAGGTTCTTAATCTGTTATCTTTAATAAGCATACTGAAGTTTCTGTTTTGAATGATCAGACCACACTTTGAGAAAGGCAGCTGTAAGGATATTCAAGAGAAAGCGTGATAAGTCTTAAGAAAGTTCCAAAAGAGGAATTCCAAAACGTTATGATCAACATTGACATCAATGGCAAGTATTGCCCACCTTGGGGCACTATCCTCCCATAGATGATGCTTATGTAGAATAAAATCTTCAATTATATTTTTAAAAAGAATCTGCATGGCTACACCAGATATACCGAATACCTGTGCTTTGGGAAGACCCATTTCATGTGTTTGTTTTTTCACTGATCATCTGCTCGGTGTTCTTCCGTAGAGAGGTATTCCTTTCTGAGCCAGGTAGATCATCTAAGGATCCAGTATTTTAGGGTTCAGCAATTTATCCACAAGTTATTATATTTTTTTGTTTTGTTTTCTTAAGATGGTGGGCTTCTTTCACTTCTTGGAGTTGGAGCACTAAATCCCAAGAGCAGGCATTGCAGATCCAATTTCTGTTAGTCATCTCCACAGTGACCAGGTTCACCAAGGTGATGGGCTGTCCAACTCCATTTGTTGTCCTGAGATAATCAGTGGCAGGAATGCTCCAGAACCAACCTTCTCTCATGTTGGGATTTGTTACATTTTTGCCCCTTGCTGAATCCATGTGACTACCTAAATTAGCCCTCTATTTTTTGATCAAGTTCTTGATTTTAACAAAGATAATCTTCAATGAGAATGTGAGAGGAGCTTCCGAGCTGCCTTACTCTTTATTTATCAACTGTCTTCTGTCTTGTTCACTGAAGAGAATCTCGTACAATTGGAAACTGAAATTCAGTGCTACATCTTCTTTAATCAATCCACATTTCATAGGTCAGTCCTATTCTCCCAGTGGCTGACACAGAGCCTCACCTGGGGACTGAGTCAAGCTTCCTCCGGGTATTACTGGGTCACAGTGTAGAGGTTACTAGTCTGTCTAGTCAGGTCCTTTGTTCCTAGGAGTCCTGATGCTCAGCTTGTCTGGATCTATTATCCACCTTGAAAACATGTGATTTTTCTAGGGCCGTTTAACTTAATTTAAGCTCTTGACTGGTTAAAAGCTTAGTGAAGTGTGGAGAGAGAGACTATGTTTAGACCCCTGTGAAAAAAAAGTTTAGGAAAAGAATAGGTTTTTGTTTGTTTGTTGTTGTTTTAATCCCAGCCACTATCTCTCTCACTTTAACAAGGACAGCTATATTATCTTTAAGAAAGGCAGAGACAACAAAGGCATCCAAGACTGAATCAGACTGCCATCAAAACAGCCCTAAGCAAGGGGGAGCAGTGACCCGATGAATGACCACATCCTCTCTCTTCACTGCCTCTGACTTTCACCTTTCCTCTCTTCCTAGGTAGGGTTGCCAGATTTAGGAAAAAAGAAATAAAAACAGGATGCCTAGTTCAATTTGAATTTCAGATAAACAAAGAGTAATATTTTAGTATACATCCATGCAATATTTGGATCTATTCCAGGCTCTATTTCATGTGTGGTCTGTCCCACACAATTCAGTGCTTTTGTATGGTCTTGTGGTTTTCATACGCAGATTGGTCCCTCAGTTAGATCAAACTGTCCTCCAGGCAGGATCTTACTTCGTATCCCTCAAGGCACCATAAATACTGACTTTTCTATTTGGGGGCCTATGTTAGATTTCTCAGGTTGGTTTCCTCTGCTGCAAATGCAGAACACCCCTGAGCAGCTCAGACCTTTCCTCTCCACACCTGTGAGGTTATTGTTTCATGAGTGATGACAGGGCTGAACACAGAGCCCTGAACGTAGTAAGCATGCCATATATTTTTATGATTGATTAATGAACTGAAAGCAATCTGTTGTCTTCTTTGGAGTCAGATTCAACATTCATGAACTATTTATTTGCATGCCAGGAGTTAGTAGTAGGCTCTATCTCCCATGCTGTCCATCTGGGAAGTCAGATGAATTACTCTTCCCTTTGGGGGAGATAAGAGGAGAGAAGTGGGGAATGGGGCTGGGAGCTACACCCAGATTTGCAAATGTGTATTATGGCTCAGCCAAAAAGATGGAGATAAAGTTGTCCTTATATACAGGGAATCATTTCAAAGGAATGGAATATTGACTCTCAAAGATTGGAGAGCTATCTTACCCATTGTATATTATTTACTTCCACTGACTTTTCTGGTTTAAATTTCTTCTATGGCATGTTGGTGTTGCAGATACATATCTACAGTATCATAAAAGTATGAAAGAACTTTGAAAGCTAATAGAATGATATAAATGGCAAAATATTCAACTCATATTAAAAAGCTTACCAGCATATAGAGTAACAGCACACATCAGATAACGAGGTGTCTTTTACACACTTCGTGCTTCTGTTAATGATATTATTTAGATCTTCCTTTGTAAATGACACTGAGCAGACTTCAAACCTTGAAGATTAAGAGTTATGAATACCCTCTCTTGGTTCAGTGCTTTTCAAGTGTGAAATGCACAGAAGAGTGAACATATATTCAGACGTGTCTAGATGATGATTTTTATGCCAGTGAGGCTTGTCCAAGGCAGGCTTGTGAATATGGTCCTTGACTCCCCCTTTCTGAGCCTTTTCCTCTGCTTCATGGCTCCTGAATGCCCTCTCAGATCCCCTGCATCCTTTGGAGGATGGAGGGAGCCAGGAAACTGCCCAGTACCTTGAAATCCTACCACTGTGCCTGTGAGCCCTGCTGAGAAAACTGCCCATTTGATTGTGGACAGAAATGACGACAAAGAAAGGGCTACTAGACTCCCATTTTACTCTAGTAAATAAACATAAACTTGCTGCCATAAGCCTCAATGAGAATCCATAACTCAATGTGGCTCTCCTATATCTTCAGTGTCCCTGGAGTTAGGCTAGAAGAACAAAAGCTGAGCATGAGAATTCATGTTCATTTCTTACCCATTCTAACACCATGAACACAAGAAAACAAAGTTCTTATGAAAGTAGATTATCATATATAGTTGATAAAAATCCAGTGTGATAATCCCCAAGCTCAAAATGTGATTGAAAAATATTTTCTGGCATGCTTATGATTTTTAGTCAAGTCAAGCTTATGTCCTTTAGTCAAGGACAAATCTTGTCCTCTGTATCTTGTACCTCTGGCATCAAGTGAATTTCAGACCATTCGCCATTTGTTTAAAAATAAGAATATTGATTTTATCTGGAAAGAGACCAAATGAAACTTTAAATCCAGGTGCACTTCTTATTCTTATTATAAATACCTAATGGAACAGTTGGATGAAGATTGAAGTTTTATTCATTTTATTTTTCAGGATGATGTCTTGTAATATCTTTATAAATTTCTTAATATTTTTCTTTGTTTCCTTTGAAAATTCTTTTATTGGGTGATTGGGTTTAGGTGGAGAATGAGCCTAATGATTAGAGAAACATGATGATTCTACATCATCCTATCCAAGATAGAGGAATGCGTTGGCTAACTCTGTGGTTTCATGGATCTCTGATTTGGGGAATAAAAACTGTAATAAAATTACTACCAGGATTAGCTATGTTCATTTGAGTAGCATTTTTATGTCTCTGATTTGAATTCAAATGCATTATTAATATTTTCCCTTTTTTTAATATAGGTGGAGAACAGACCAAAATATTATGGAAGAGAGTATGTATCATGCTATTCGTTGTTTTAATAATGTAATAGTCATTTTGTATGTCATTTAAATATTAAAAATTAAAAATCTTCTAATATATAGTTTTCATCAAATGTCCATTGTGCAAGTGTTTAATAATAAGGATAAATGCCATCAGACCCCTTTGTACTGAATTTTCTTTATAAGACTCAAGTGCTTGGCTTCCATGAATGTGGGAGGGATTATTTCCTGCTGTAGTTTTCTCCTGCAAAGCGGCCACTGAGCACCTCAAGTATTTGAAACCTACGGCAGGCTTTTCCATGACTGAGGTGCTGTTAGTATTTTATTTCACTTCCTACCTTGATGCTATGTAAACATTTAGAGTGTCAAAGATTGTAAACCGCGTGGCTGAATTCCTTACTTTCACGTACTTCAGTAAAGGCAATACGGGGAAATCACCCCATTTCCCTGCAGGCTCATAAAACCTAAATGATGAGTTCTCTTGGCTCGGATAGATTAGCCAAATTGCCTCAATACCACAATGATTATTTCCTCCCATTTTCCTCTTAATTTCAACTCTTGTTTTGTCTTACTTCCTCAGAAGCCTACTGTAAAGCAAATAGGCATCTCGTAGAGAGCCTTCTCAGTCTCAGGCTGTGGCGTGGCGTGGCGTGGCGTGCCATGTGGTATAGCTTACAAAGCACAGGCAGAACAACCCGCGCGGGGGTCCAGTGCCCAAATCCCTTTCTTCCCACGTCCAACCTGGAGGCCTTATGAGCCACAGTCTTCAAACAAGTCCACGTCCCAAGCCCTCCTGGCCAATCCAAACCTTCTTCCTCTATTCACTTCCCCATCAGGGCCTCATCTTCGTGATCAATGACCCTCTTATGTGTCCCAGCCTAGCAGTGACTTCCTAATGGCATTTCTGAACCTTCCTTTCCAGCCTTGGGAATTCAGCCAGGACCCCTGGAATGCCTGTCCAGGAATGCTGGCCTCTGCTTTCAGCCATCCTCACGTCCCTAACATCTAACCTAGTTAGTTAGGATGCTCTTTTTCCTTCAGTGTACTGATCGGGATTTTTGCTCACAGAGAGCACAATTAATAAAGAAAAAGAGAAAGGAAAGCCTACGAAACGGGACAAAAAGGAACTCTGTTGTGCATTTTCTTTGTTTTGTCAAAGTTTTGTTGAACAACGTTTTAGTTAATCGTTTTCCAACCCCCAAGCCACACAAACTACATAGTGAGAGGACAGCAAAGAAACATTTTCTTAAGGACAGAAAAAGGATCATTTTGCATTAGAGGGAAGTTAGCTTAAAAACTTCAGATTCTGTGTTTCCCTTTCTTTTTTTAGAAATAAGAGGCTTTGGTCCATTGAAAAGTAATAAATGCTCTCTTCAGGAAACATATATGCATTTTTTTTCCTACTAGGAATCCCATGAAACTGTTGACAATGGATACCTTTAGGAGAAGAGAGCTTTTACTCTGTAATGTTTACATTCTTACCTCTTACGTGCCTTTTAACTTTTGAATTTTCCCACTGTGCTTTGGTATGAATTTTATTCTTAAAACATGAATAAATTAATACCCGCTAATTTGGGAAAATTAGAAAATATATAGGTAGAGAAAGTGGAGAACATCCTCAGCTCACCATGAAAAAAATCTTTGCTAACTTTTCCCCTTCATCTCATCCCTTCTGGTGTTTCTCTGTGATGCTTTCTTTCTACAAGGAGGGGATCATAAGATATATATATCATGGATATTTTTAAACCCATGCATAAAAGGGGTGATGAGCCATAAGCTATTCACAGAACTGTAATTTTCTTCTTTTGAACAATTGAGTTCAATTTGGTTCTTGACATGTTACGTCTGCTGCTGGCTATCAGCTAAACTGTGTCGAGGGAGTTAAGGATGAGATGCTTTCACAGTACCTGCCTGTTTGGGGTGTCCCTCCTCCGTGACAGTGGCCTGGGGCAAGGGAGTCAGGTTCCTGTGCCCTCTGCTGTGTGTGCCTCATCCTGCTGCAGTCATCCCCTCCCCTGCCCTGACCCACAGTCAGCTTATGTCCTTTCTGACTCCACTGTGGGAAACTTTCCGATGCCCAGTGCCCCTCCTACTCCATACCATGTCCCTGTCACCACATACACACACATTTCTCTCTCATGTGCACACACACTCTCATACACACACATATATGCTCTCTCTCTCTCTCATAATCACACTCAGACACATGCTCTTCGTACACATGTCCACTGGCCCAGTGTCTGTGAGGCTCCCTCAGGTCTCCCGGCCCAGGCCATCCATCCTGCCCAGCTCATACTGCATAGGAGGTGTTCCCACAAGGTTCACAGGGTTCAGTGGCCACATGCCCAGTCAAAGCCCCCAACACCTCTGCTCTGGCTCCGAGATCCCCATACAGTCATCTGGGATCCACCAGTTCCAATCTTGAGTCTGAGCTCTGCCCAAATTCTTCCCAGTCTCCCTCCTGCAAGAACAGGGGACACAGGTCTCTTTGGGGCAGACAGGTTGCTTATATGCCACATCCATCCTCACTTCAGAAAAGTGCTGCTCCAAGATCTCCACGTGTTGACTTTTGAGATTTAAAACCAAAATTTGGAAAGCAGAAAACCTCTTTCTCCCACCTTGTCACTGAGTCAGACTTTTGGGAGTTGATTTTGGATCTCAAAGCTACAGCTTCTTCTGGCTTCTCTCCCCTAAGACAAAAGCTTCAGTTTATAAGGTCTACTTGTTAAGAAGGACAGAAGGGAATTAGGAAATAAATATTGCAATAGCATTTTACCCCAAACTATTATCACGCTACCTTTGTCCTCACTTCATCTTCACATTCCTGGGGGAGAAGGCCAAAACTTGTCTAGCCAACTCCACCCCTCCCGCCCCCTTTCCGGTTCCAGGAAGGTGAAGGGATTCTCTGTCCAGAAAAATTTCTTCTCTAATTTATTCCCCAAAGATCTTCAAGTTTGGGTAATCCTGGGAAGAGGGTGTTGTTCCCTCCCCCCGGACCCTGGGGTCCCTCAGCACTGGCTTCACTCCCCAACCCAGCTCCCCCACCTTCCTATGAAACATGAATTGATCAAATCTCTGGTAAGTGGTGGTGGGGTGGGGAGCTGTCTTTGCTTCAAGACAACAGAGAAGGTTCCCCAGGAGTCACTGTCTACTCTGTAGGCCTCGGACATGTGCCTCCAGAGCAAAGCAGTCATTAGCCAAGCCTGCATTCTTCCTAGATATGCTGTGTTTTCTACATGCATGTGTATTATTTTTAAAATTGCAGAAAAAAAATAATGAACGTTATCTTTTAAAAAGAACAATAGGTACATTTTTTTTCAAACATATCCTGAAGCGATTGCTCTCAACATTAAAAGGAATGGAAGAATGTTGATTATAGCTGGCTATTGTTTCCAGAGAATGAGCCTCTAAAATTAACAACACCCTGCACCTGAAGTAAGCAAGTTGATAATCAATAGTGTTCATTAGCAATCCGGACAATACATAGTTTCTGTGTTTGAGCTGAGAGCTAAATTGGTAATTGCTCTTTTGTTATTCCCCATAGTTAAAGAAGGGGCCATAACCTGGCCTTTTGTTTTGACTTTAGCTTTCAGCTTGAGAGCAAAGACAAGAGCAGAAAGCCAGCTGGACTGGGTGTTCTTCATTTTGTTTTGCCTACCTGAATACTTCTTATAAGTTTGGGTGTTTGCTGAGAAGTAGTTCCAACTGCATCTTTAAGATATATGGTAGTTACTCCCCTCTTCATCCACGTGGGGGACAGTCGGTTCTGGGTGGTCCCGCCATCTTTTTTAGCCCAGCTGTTTGTGGTGCATAGTTTGTATGAGGTCTGCTGAGAACAAAGATGGTCCGTTCTCTCCTCAGGTTTCACGGGATCATCTCCCGGGAGCAGGCAGATGAGCTTCTCGGAGGCGTGGAGGGCGCCTACATTCTTAGAGAAAGCCAACGCCAGCCAGGATGCTACACGTTAGCTCTAAGGTGAACCTGATTTCATCCATTGTTGCTGCTGCTCTTCAAGTGACCTCACTTAATTTTTTCCGTTTTTTTTTTTATTGCCATAAAATATGTGTAACATACAATTTACCATCTTAACCATTTTTAAGCGAGCAATTCAATGGCGTTAAGTACATTCTTAGTGCTGTGCAACCATCTCCACTATGGGCTGGCAGGATTTTTTTCATCATCCCAACCAGAAACTCTACCCATTAACCAGCCTCTCCCCCTACTGATTTTTCATTTTTGTTTTGTTTACGGAGTACAAGTAGCATATTAGAGCTTATACACTTCCTAGGCCACCGATGTTATCAGTAGGATGCACACTGAGGCTCTGTTTATGCACATACAGTAAACTGGGGAATTATCTGGAAAGTTAGTGCTCCTGTAGCCACTTCTGCCTAAATCTGATCCAGCTGAGGGAGCAACGCCTCTGCCTCAGTTAGTTCCTGGGAGCCCTTGTCAAAAGTCTTCACCTCATGTTGTGTATGTGTGCCTGGACTGACGTGGAGTTTGTCCACGGGTTCTCTCGGGGTTTAACATTGACCCAAGGGTCACATCGACTCCCAACGACAGTCATGGCACTCCATGCCTGCAAGCCATCAGAGCAGAGTTTTCTTGAGCCTTTTATCACAAAATCACAAGAACTGGAAATCACAGGGCCAGAAAAGCATTGCATTTTCTGCACTTTCCTAAACTCAATCAAATATTTGACGCCATTTGATCCTTATGGCAATCCCATAAGGTTTGGGGAAAGCATCCAATTCCAGAATTGAATTGTCTTCTGAAAGTTCATTTATGAACTCTTTGGAATTAGGAAGACCTTTCTCCATAGAAAGAATGGTATTAATGGAAACACTTCCCAGGCCGGCCCACAATGGCATATTCCAGGTGACACCTCAATATTGTGGCCATAAAAGGCTACTTCCCAAGTTGCACCTAGGGATGGTTTGAACATATCTGAGATGATGTCATTATAAGAAAGTACTTCAAAAGCTAGTAAGTGCTCTAGGTATGCAAAGTATTTTCCTATCCCCCAGCCCTCCAGCAGCAGGCACAGGCAGTCCCAGCGGGGAACCAAACAAGGGCTGTGAGATACAGGACCAAGGCCAAGAGGGCGCAGCTGGTGCTAAAGAGGGAGGACCTTATAGGTTAGATCCCTGGGATGCTGGCGGTGGCCGCTCCAGCAGGGAACTTCGCCCAGCTCCCCCCAGCTCCCTTCTGTGGCACCAACTAGGGTGGGAGGCATGAGGTGCTCTGCTGGTGGTGGCCAAAAATGTCATAATAAGAGGACATCAGGGCGAGTGGTGGTAGCTTCCCCTGCAGAGGCAATTGCCGGGTATAGGGGAGGGGTAGAGAGCCAGGGCTAGTTTTCATCAAGAAAATTTAAAAGTAAAATATATGTAAACCAGGCTCTACCCTCTCACATTTACAAATGAGAATAATAAGGACTCAACGGCCTTAGTGATTTCTAGGATCCAGTGACACCATATGACTGCCGGGTGTTGAATCCCACCCCTGCCTCTCTCCAGGGGTGTACTCTCAAGCAGGTACACGATCTCTTCAAATCTCAGTTTTCTTAGACATAAAACCAGGACAATAATTCTACCTGTCTCAAACTATGATAATTAAATGGGGGGGAGGGTAAAAAAAAAAAAATCATTCCAAGTGCCTCGTTCAGTGCCTGACATACATAATGCACTCAAAAAGTGTTAGCTGCTACTGTTCTTCCATGTTCTTACTTCTAACACTGTTGTGATTTCTCTTTCTCTTGGGGACAGGTTTGGAAACCAGACTTTAAACTACAGGCTCTTCTATGATGGAAAACACTTTGTGGGCGAGAAGAGGTTTGAATCGATTCACGATCTGGTCACAGATGGCTTGATAACACTGTACATAGAAACAAAAGCTTCTGAATACATTTCCAAAATGACCACAAACCCCATTTATGAACACATTGGATATGCCACTCTACTCAGAGAAAAAGTATCCAGGAGGCTGAGCAGGTCGAAAAATGAATCAAGAAAAACAAGCGTTACAAATGAAGAACACACAGCAGTTGAAAAGGTAAGCTACGTGTGTGACAGAAACAGTCTCTGCTCAATCTATGCTGAATAACTGCTTGATTAACTATGTATGTGATTGGCCAGAATGTTGGAAGAGACACACTCCCACCCAAAGAAATCTAGAATGTTCTGCTAGGAGGGACCTTAGAAATCTTCCGGTTCAACGGAGGCCCGGAAGTGTGAATTCATTTGCCCAAACTCAAACAGTCAGAGCGAGGGCTTCACAAATAATTATTTGTGGGTTTATTCGGAGTTTGAAAAAAACACTTTATTAATGTTTTATGATGAAAATAGTCCTTGGTTTTAATTCCATTTGAGGCCCTACTGGCCATCTCTATGTCCACCTAACTATGCAAAATCGTGATATTTGTGTCTGCTTCTCTTAGGACCGAGTGACCATGTGTGATGCACAGGTCAGCCCTCCTGAAGGTGGTCTTACCTAGATAACAGCTTTTACTGACAGATACGGGAGCGTTATCGGGGAGGATGGCTATCTCTGGGAGGCTTAAAAGACGGGCTGTCCTTTGCCTCGCTGAGGATTAGAAACTCCTAAGTGGGCGATGTTCAAGCTGCATGGATGGTGGCAGGATGTGGCGGGGGAGATCTGATTTTCCCCTCCAGTAAGTTGCTGTTTATTTGACAGTCACCACCACAGTTTGCTAGCAGATTTTTTGGATGTGCCCCTTTAGGAACCATCTGCTTTGCCTGGTCCTGTGTGTTTTCCACTGAAAGAAAGTGACAGCCAGTCCTACTGGTCAGCCCCCACTGAGTCTGTGCTGAGCCCAGTGTCGAAGGCAAGCTTGGACTGGGACAGATATAAATGGGGGGGAGCAGAATGGTGGGCAATCCTCCTTCTGGTGATCGCTAATCCTTAATTAAACCGGAACGGCGCCCCCACCCTCCCCTGTTGTCCAGTGTGAGCATAAAGCAAAGGAACCTTAGGTTGACTGGCTCCCTTGGCTTTGGGACAGGGACACACCAGAAATCACTGGAATAAGGAGGAGGGCAGAGATAGGCAGCACGGCGGTCCTGTTGGCAGAGACGGGCATGATCTTAATTGATTTGCTGATTGGATTTCAGAGCCTAGGAAAACCTTCCCCAAAATCACATCAGCTGAGCAGCTGGCCCATGAAAAAATTATTTGCCATTTTCTCTGTTATAACTCCAGTGTCTCCAAGGCACCTGTCATTCTTTTACATATAATTGATTTGGGAAATGGTGGGTTTTCTAATTGTTTACATTTTACCAAGAGAAAGGGAGGGGACATGAGCCCCAACTTTCAGAGTTTGTTCCGGTCCAGGCAAAAGCCATTCCTTAGTCTGTTTGTAAAATCTGTTCAAAAGTAATTTAGAATAGAAAATCTGGAAGCTGACCTTCCCAGCCATGACAAATCAGAAGATGAATTGTAAAATAAATCTCTGAAGCGGTGTTTATATTTCCGAGTCAGAGAGTAATGCCGCCAAAAAGGCAACCTGTTACAACGGCAGGCTACACAGTGGAACATTTCCAGGGAGAGAGGTGAGTAGAAAGAGTGCTTCTTGTATGTTTGGGATGAGAGTTTAGATTCTGGGTACTGAGTAGATATTTCTAGAGCCTTGTCCTTCGCCAAGAGGGAAGTTTGGTCACAAAAAACTGATATTTCTAGATGATAGTCCCATAAGGAAACTTGCAGGACAAAATGTGCCCTTCGTTGTAGATCATTTTGTATTGTATTTATTAAAATTAAAATTTGGAGGAAATTAATAATCAGATTAATAATCACTTTAGATGAGCTTCCCAGGACACTTTTACCTTTCTAGGAAAAGGTAAATAAAGAAAACACTGAAAGAAGAAGTCCACACACAGGGAAGGGTTTGATGGACAGGTGCTGGTGGTGTGAATTTTCTGAGACTAATGTTGCAACATTTGGCTTTCCTGGGGGACATTCTGAACGCTGGGTCTGGTCATTTGCTGGAGGTCGCTCATTTTGTCAGCGAGTTTGTTAAGTAACTTGGTACAAATCCATCTCTTTCTCTCTGACCTGTATTGACAAGTGGAATTATTAAAAGTCTCAGTCTTGCCAGAAATTCTATTTCCCTGAAGGGCAGGTCAGTGGACTGTTGCCATGGAGGCAGAGACTAGAAAAGAGGTAGCGGAAACTTGAATGGATTGACTGAGAAGTGCCCGGGGCACCTGTCTGCTTCGATAATGGCGCATCGTGGAGGTTTTAATGAGTGAAATGGGTAGGTTTCCTAATAATTCTCAAACCCAGACAGCCCGGCATTTCATTTTCCAGAGTACTTAAACTTTGTTCGCCCATTTATTTTATTGATCATTTCCAAATGAATCCAGAGAGACAGTGGTACCTGAAAATCCAAGAATATTATCAGTGTTAATTGGCATAAAGATATTACCTACCCCATCAGAACTGAGTGGTTTCCAGATTTATCTCCTGTCGAGGTGGTTAGCAGTGAACTTGATTTTATTTTATTTATTTATTTATTTATTTTTTATAATTTTTTTTTAAGATTTTATTTATTTATTTGACAGCGAGA